TTCTGTCTCTGCTTTTGTTCTTCAGGATGGTCAAATTCAATGCATAAAGCACGTACTGTCCTTACAAATAGAAAAACCAGTGAGGATTATTTTTATTTCAGAAAAAACAAAACCTGGATGAGCCAAGGCAGCTGTGCAAACCCCAGGACCCCTGAAGGTCTGAAGGTCAACACTGATGTGCACATGGCATGAAAACAGACAGAGAGCCTCTCATCAATGCCACAGTGCAGGTCCAACCACAGACCCAGGGCCACCCAGCCACCCAGGGCCTACCTGCCAGGCCTGAAATCAGATGGGGGGTAAACGGCCAAGGGATCCATGCCCAAGTTTGTGAGGGTGTTCTCAACCCGGCAGCCCTTCAATTTGACCTGGACCTCCTACTTCTGCTAAAAATGAACTGCCCACTCGTTACAACAAAAGTCATTCCAGGAATGAGCATTGAAATTGGGTCCTCCATCCAGACATCCTGGTGTTCTGAAGGAATGACACTCAGAGGGGGGCATTCCACTGACTGTCACCTGGTCACTCAGAGACTGGGAGGCAGCAAGGAGCAGGGACACACCTGGACCCCCAAGGAGCAGGGACACCCCAGACCCCGCAGGAGCAGAGACATGTCTGCACCCCCAAGGAGCAGGACACACCTGTATCCACCGTGACCCCCCTTCACTTCCTCTGAAACATGTAACCTCCAACGCCCATGGAATAAAGTGCAAGCATTATCCGGCCTGGGTGGCTCCATGCCACTACCCCATCACCTCATGTACCATCAATCCGTATCGCCAAGCCCTCAAATCCACCTGGCCTCCAGGCTCTCCAGGCCTCTGGCTCTACCCCCATCCCGTGCTCCACACCCTTGGCCCTTGCCCACGCTGTGCCTCCAACCTGACAGCCCCTCTGCACTCGCTGGGCTCCTGCACATCCCTCTGGCATCAGCCCCCCGTGTGCCTTTCCCTGGGAGGCCCACACCCTGGAGGCCCTTCTCTTTGGGCCCATTACAAGTCTGTCCCGCACTCCTGTGACTGCCCACTCTGAGTCTTCCTCAAGGGCAAGGCCTGCGTTCTTCGAAAGCCCAGCACCCAGCCTGGCCCCTCAGCACACAGCAGGCACCAAAGAAACGTTTAATGAGTATCGAGTACCAACAGCACTCCCGGTTGCCGGTGGCGGCTCTTCCTTGTTCTTTGAGAAGCTGCAGCCACGTACCTGCCGCCCAGTCATCCCCGTGCTGCCTTCGACAACAGAATGACTTCAAAAGCTCTTCAAATACGTGGTGCCCATTCCATCACCTCCCCTACCCACAAGTCCCACCAGCACAGAGATCCCCAGGGGCTCATTCAGTGCCCTCTGACACTCAGGGGCTCTGCTCTGAACACCCCACTCTCTCGGGGTCAGCCCAGCACCACGCCTCCCCCCACTTTCAGTCCAGTCCGGAGGGCGTCGCTGGTGTTGGATGGCCATCCTGTCTCTGGAGAGCTAGGAGGACCGGGGACAGAAGGAGCATTCTCTGAGTGCAGTCACAAACCGTGGGTGAGAAAGGGCAGGCAGAGGACCAGGAAGCCCAGACAGTGACACAAGACACCTCCCGGACGAGCTCAGATGCTGACAACATGCACTGCACAATGCACAGAGGGACTGGCACCGCAGCACGGAAGCACAGTCTGACCACACGGGGCTGTAGCCAGCTCGGAGTCTTAGCCCGCATCCACTGCTCATTCATTCCTCAAGTATCTGAGTGTTTCCTAAGCGTCGGGGCCCTTCCCTCGTGGAGTGTTTATTCAATTAGGGTAATCACAGGAAACAGGAATACAAGTAAACAAGCCCATTTTGGATTTGAGAAAGCACTGTGAAGACAACAATATGGATGATGAGGTGCGTGACCCAGAGGCTTTATTGAGGGTTGCAGGAAAGGTCTGACAAGGTGACACTTGAGCTGGTGCCTGGAGCAGAAGCCACGTGAAATTGGGGGGAAGAGAGTTCCAGGCAGAGGGAACAGTGTGTGCAAAGGCCTGAGGCAGGGGCGAGCTGGGTGTGTTCAAAACACAGAGATAAGGCCGGAGTGGCTGGTGATCGGGGAGCACATATGGGCCCCCAGGGGTGTGAGATGGGCAGGACAGGTCTTACGGGAACTTGTGGGACAGAGGAAGGGGCGGGACCCCATTCTGATGGCAGTGGAGAGATGGACAACTCAGTTCTTATTGCTTTTCCCTTCCATCTCCCTGCAAATCTACTATCCTAAACCTTCACCCTTTCTTTTTTAATTTTATTTATTTATTTTTTTCCCCCAAAAGCCCCAGTAGATAGCTGTTATGTCATAGCTGCACAGCCTTCTAGTTGCTGTACGTGGGACGCGGCCTCAGCATGGCCAGAGAAGCAGTGCATCGGTGCGCGCCCAGGATCCGAACCCGGGCCGCCAGCAGCGGAGCGCACGCACTTAACCGCTAAGCCACGGGGCCGGCCCATACCTTCACCCTTTCTAATCCATTTAATCACTGCTTCCAAACCAAGGAATCATATCTAAACAGAAAACTCTCTTTGAAATGAGAGGGGTGGGAAGGGCTGGTCTGGCTGTGACAGGGCTGGAGAGGGGGCGGGCTAAACCAATGGTCGAGGCTGCAGGAAACTTGACTGCTGAGTCAGTCCCTGGAAAGAAAACTCCTGGTTTCCAGGACTCCTCCAACACGCTGGGATCAGTCTGTGGGTTCTAGAAGTTTGGCCAACCATTCAAATTTGCCTGCTCACAAGACGATGAGGAGATAGTAAAGGAGCTGAGAGAGACAGAGGGACAGAGAGAGAGAAACAGAGAGAGAGAGAGGGAGAGGGGAAACATTGCAAAACGAGTTTCACTCTATTACCACAAATCTAACCTTGCCTCAGGGCAATGTTCCCAAGGTCAAGTTACATTTCTTCCTCCTGGACTCAGGGAGTCCTGGGTGTGTGGGGCTCACAGGGGAGAGGGGAGAGGGTCCCAGACACACACAGACCCCCATTGACACACAAAGTAACCCAAGGAAGCCAACCGAAAAATCTGCTCTCAGAGGAAGTTCCTCAAGTTGAATAAAAAGAGCAATCACTTAAGTCTTCTGCAAAGAATGAGGAAGAAATGGAAATAACGCCACCTCCTCAGTCATTTTTCCACAGCTGGGAAGGAGCTGCTTTTCACCTCTGCCCTTTCAAGGGGAACATTTTTTAGCTGTTAACAGAGGAACAATCAATATCATTTATGTTCCATGAAAGCACCTAATTCCATGATCGATAGAGAAGCCCAGCCTGAGGGAAGTGCACCCCCTGCCCACTGTGCGGGGTCCATCCACGGAGGAGACTGACAACCTTCCAGGAACTGATTTTACAGGCCGGCCAGGAAGTCATGCCCTGAAGGGAGGGCATGAGTCATCATGGTGGGGAACCACACCTAGGGCCCCGGGGGGGAGACAACAGCTGAAGCCCAGTCCAGAAGGGCGGCGATGGAACAGCTGCAGCTGGGTCAGAGGGGGGGGGCTCCCCTGCTCCCTCTGCTCACTCCCCCAGCCATGACAATCCTGCGTCCTCCCCACTGCAGCTGCCACCATCAATGCCCCCAACGACCTCCTGGTGGCCAAGGTGGCCCCTCAACCCGCCACTTTGAGTTCCCGTCTCCCTCCTCTGGGCAACGTCAGGTTCTCATTCTGCTCCACCCGTCTGGCACTTTATATTATAATGAGTCACCATCAAAGGGTCTTTCTTCACGGCCCACTCCCTACCAGGCTGCAATGCATGCTCCCTGCAGCAGTGGACTGTGTGTCTTCTGTCCCCCTGGCTCCAGGGGGTGGCTGAGAGATGTGTGTGCAATGAATGAACCTCCGCTGCACACCTGTGTCAACGTGTGCATCCACAGACTCACGCAGCTTCACACCTGGCTTGTCCGTTCCCAGGCGACTCACACAGGATGGCAGGTGCTGGTGGAGGGAGGGGAGCAGAGGTGGCAGAAATGCTAGGGGCGCTGACAGTCGCACCTTACAAAGTCAGGAGGTGACCAGGGCTGTCTGGAGTGGGGGGAACAAGGAAGAAAAGCCTATGATCGAGTCACAAAGGTTTTCCTACGGGAACAAAAGCACCTGAGTGTCCCTCTCAGGAGGACAGGGAAGGGAACTGAGCCAGCTCCTCTCACAGAAAGAAGTCGATGGAAAATATCAAGCACAGATTCAAAGAGGGAAGAAAGAGAAGGACATTAGTAACCTTCTCCAAGGTAACTAGTACTCCAGGGCAGCCACCAGAACTGAACTAACAGGTTAGAGCGGGGCTGCCCATGGGCTGTGAGACGGGCAGGGCCCAGCCCTGCTGAAGGCCGTGAAAGGGTCCAGTAAACGCTTCCCCGTTGGCTTGTGGGCCAGGGTGTATCCGTGGTGTGACACCAACCTCCCCCTTTTACTTCTTAGGATTCCAATTCCCAGTGGTGCTGGCAAAACAGAGGCTGTCCTCACCCCCAACTCAAACACACACAAGAAGGAGGAAGAGAAAACAACACTACAGAGAGATAGTGGAACCTGCCAGCAGACACGGAGAGAGAAACTCACATCAAAATAAAGACAGACTTCGGGGCGGCAGTGGTTCTTAAAATTTTTCAATCATAGATCCTGTTGGGAATCTGATGAAAGTACGGATCTTCTCCCAAGAGATCTAAATAGAGGTGGTTGGAGCACAGAGCCCCCTTGGTCCCCTACCCCCACTGGGCATGTGAAGATCCATTCTGAGACCTCTGAGGGACTCACAAATCTGGCGGGAAGAGACCTGAACAATCCTTGCCATGGTGGCTTGTGAGCTGTTTGGGGGCCCCTCCAGGTCCCACGTAAACACCAATCTCCAGGGCACACTTAAAACCCCATCCATGTATTTCAGGAAGTGGAGATAAGCCTGGACACCAGTCCCAGGGTTTGCTAAACCACAGCCGTGCCCACATGTGCCCGGGAAAGGCTGGAAGACTGGATTTAGCCCCATCCCGCTGGAATCCACAGCCGGCGGGCACTTACCATCATGAGCTCCTTCTGGAAGGACTTGCGGTCTTTGCTCTCCGTGTTGTTACAGTCCTCCTTCAGCTTCTCCAGGACAGACGCCACCCGCTCGGGTTCACTGTCCAGCTCGGCCCGGCAGAAAAAGGTGAGCGGCTGGTGCCCGTAGCCCAGGGCGTCGGCGAAGGAGCGCCAGCTGCTGATGTTCTCCATGAGCAGGGTCCTGACGGACGCGTAGATGTAGGTGAGGAACTTGCAGGGCCGCAGAATCTGCTCCAGCAGCACCGAGGTGCTCAGCTCGGGCCCAGAGAGGAAGCTGGGCCTGGCCCTGCCCACCACCAGCACGTTCTTGGCGTGCACGAGGCCCACCTTGCCCTGGTGGTAGCCGATGTACCACTCCTTGGTCCACAGCTGCCCCTTCAACCGGATCTTCTCCTCGCTGAGCAGAGCGATGGCGTCGCCCTTCTTGTACTCCAGCAGGTAGTGGTTCTTGCTCTGCCGCACCACCGTCTTGAGCAACTTGCCGAACTTGAGGCTGGACACCGGGCGGTCCTGGAAAGTCGGGTACTTGGTGGTGGCAGCGAACGGGGACAGAATGATTTTCCCGACCTCGTTCTTCTTGAGAAACCGTCTCTGCCCGGACGGCTTGATGGCACTTTTGGGGGGTGGCTGGGGGGTCTGGACGCAAAACTGGGTCAGGATGGCCTCCTGGTCATCTTTCACCTGGACCCTCAGGGTGAAGTCAGAGAGCTCGCCGGCGTTCTGGCAGGCGATGGGGAAGATGAGCCGGCTCACCTTGCCCAGCTTCATCTGGAACCCTCGCACCACTTTGGCCTGCTCACCGGCTTTGACCTCGTAATGTGTCATGTTGGAAAACATGCAGACCTGGAGATCCTGGGGCCTGGACAGGACGAACTGGTGCTTACCCCAGAGCTGCAGTGCCACCGGGGCAGGGCTGGGGGCCTGGCGCGTGACCTCGCTGACCAGGAGAGTCTTTGGGGCACAGTCATGCCCAAAAATGGTCACCACTGTCTTGAAGGAGGGGTGAATGTGCTTGGGACCATAGAGACCCACCGTGACTTTTTTGTTGATGAAGTCCCATACTGTGGAAGGGTAGAGAATGTTCGGGCCGTGGGCAACGATGGCCAGGTACATACAGGGCTCCAGGTTTTCCAGCTGTACCTGGACTGTGTCCCCATAGTTGTAGGTGAGTGGGATGGGGACATATGGCCCTTCCTTTGAGTCGCTCCTCAGGCACTGGAGGCCCACTGTGCTTTTGCTAAAAATGTCATTTTTCACCTCGGCTGAAACTTTCATCTCCAAGATGAGAAAGGTTTTCACCTCCAGGGTGCTCAGCTTTACCTCCAGCACCGGGCTGATGCAGCTGCACTTGTCGCTGTTGAGTTCCAGCGGGGGGTCCAGCAGAGCTTTCATGGAGATCTGCTGCGTTTCCCCGGGAGCCACGTGGCCCTCGGGCACGTGGATGCTGATGTTGGTGTCTGGAAGCTGCACGGCACCCCCGGAACTGTCCAGCTTGCACACGATGTTTGTCTCCACCGCTTGGGTCTGGCCCCACCCAGGACTTTGGCCCAGCAAGTCCAGGTCGTGGCAGGACCGGGCCAGCTTCCGGTGGCTCAGCCAGGCAGCGCGGAAGTCCTCCCGGCTCTGGAATTGCTCAGGCGCCGGTGATTTCAAGCCCGTGAAAAACCCCGATGACTCAGGAGCATCAGACCTGGCTTGGAGCACGGAGAGTTCCGACAGACTGTAGGAACGCTTGCTTCTGAAGAACGGGTTGTCTCGCTTGACCACTGGCTCCGCGTGGAGTTGATTTGTGGCCGGCAGCTCGTCAAAGATGTTGCCGGTGCTGTTCGTGGTCGCTGAGCTGGACTCAGTGAAGGAAGACGTGCCTGTGTCAAAGAGCAGCAGATCCACAGTACTTCTGGGAGTCAGCTCATCCAGGCTGGGCGTCACTGGCACGTTCCCATTCAGAAATGGGTTTGTCTGGACCCCGTTCCAGAAAGGGTTATTGTTGCTGTAGGTTTTGCTCGATCCCTTCTTGTCATCGGTCCATCCTCCGAGCAAATCTAACTCCTTGGCCACCTCGTCTGGGCTGTCCGGAAGATTGTCAATCATCCCACTGTCACTTAAGGTTGAATTCCGGTAGTTTAAGGGCTGCACGTAGGAGGAGGGGATGTAGCCCATTTCCGTGGTGTTGTGTGCATACCACCACTCCCCACCCGACGTGTCCAAGACGTAGAGATGGTCCCCCTTGGAGAACTTCAGCGTGGTGAAGTTGGTTGGGCAGTAGTCCTTGATTGCGATCACTTCCTTTGCATTTCCAAAGGGTGTGGGATTGTCTCCTAGCAAGGCACTGGGAGAAGGCACTGCATAAGACACAAAGAAACAGAGGGTGAGGGTGAGGCCAACAGGGTGCTGCAGAGCATCGTGCAAGACCAGGGAGAAGAGTGTCCACACAAATACCACCGAGGTGTGGACAACGAGCCAGGCAAGGAACTAACAGAAACAAACCAGAGTGAAATTTGGCTTTTGATTCCCTGCCAACAAACTGACCACGAGAGCACTGTCGTTTATCACACTTGATCACGTTCCAATTCAACTGTCCAAGTCAGGAGAAAGGCCATGAAGACAGTCTCTCCATCATCCACACAAATGCGAATCAGCCTAATGGAATAGTTAACATGTCCCTGTGTTTTTTTTTTTTTTTTAAAGATTTTATTTATTTTATTTTTCCCCCCAAAGCCCCAGTGGATAGTTGTGTGTCGTAGCTGCACATCCTTCCAGTTGCCGCACGTGGGACTCGGCCTCAGGATGAACGGAGAAGTGGCGCCTCGATGCGCACCCGGGATCCGAACCCGGGCCACCAGCATCGCAGCGCGCGCACTTAACCACCAAGCCACAGGGCCGGCCCATCCCTGTGTTTTTAAACATCTCATTTTGACCCAATTTTTCTTTATCTAACTAACTTACTGGAATTGCTACTAGGTAGAAAGAGATGCTGAATGTGATTTCCTTGGAAAACAGAGGCGTTCTGAGTTAAGTGACCCATTGCCTGTAACCAGGGACTGGACATGAAGAGCCACCAGAGAATCTCAGTGTCTACGAGCTGATTCCACATTCTGCCTTCAACACGAAATATGTCAACGGAGGGGAAGGTTCCCTTGACAATCAGGGCCGTTTCTTACATTTCCAAGTCGAACCCAGTCTTCATCAAACTGTTTACGTCAAATAAGATTTCTGAGGTCAGTCTCTTTCGACCTCTTTTAAACGATCATTTAAAACGAGAACATGGAAATGGTCTCTCCCACAAACCTTGAAAATCAAAGGTTTACGTCTGGTCGTACTTCACATAGTTTTTGAATAACTGTTGAAGCAGTCTGAAAAATCCCAACACTTTAAACAGTGACTCAAGCTAAATTACGGTTCTTGGCATTCAACTCCGTATGTTTCCAACGCAGACAGCAACTGGCACGGCAAAAATAAGTCATCTAAACAAGTGGTGTGTGTTTTTAAAGATAAAGGATAATTAAATACCTAAGTGTTTTCTCTCCCTCCCACACATGACACAGTATGTTCAGAGGATGAAGAAAGTTCTTTCTGATGGAAATAAGCCCCTATACTCCGCCCCACCCAACGTGCCTGGTTTTACAGTTTGCTGATATTCTGCCTTCCTTTAACAAACAATTGCAAGTAAACTTTTTTAGTTGCCCATGTAAACAAGCCAAGAAAGGACTATTTTTTTGGTTGAGCTATACCTACATCTTCTGATATATGATTAAGTCAACGGGCATCCTATTTAATCAAATGGGCCCTCCAAAAAAATCAGCTGTCAGTTCCCCTTTCCTCTGAAAGGAAACAATGAAAATTAAATCGCACTTCCTTGGCAAAGTCTTAGAAAATACAGCAGGAAGTCTCTATTTATTTACATGAACCAGGTTACTGAGATGTGCTTGGTAGAAAGCACCACCTGGGCCTCGAAGGCTGTCACCCCCACCCTCTATCTGGGGTGTTGGGGAGAATCTGGCTCTGGGATCACAAGATCTGGACTTTTAATCCAGGCCCTGAGAAGCTGTGTGATCTCCGGAGCCTGAGACACTTCATGATGGAGAAAAAACATCTTTCCTCAATGGGCCCTGGCGAGGATTAAATGAAATGATGCTGATCAAATGCTCAGCATAATGATGCTTAGCCCTAGATAACAACTCACAAAATGTGATGTTAAGACGGACATCTCCACTCTCCTCCTAATTTAATCTTTCTCCACAGCACTGACCATCAACCAGTATATCATGCACCTTACATATCTGTTTTGGTTTGGGGGAGGGGGGGCACTCCATCACCCCATGAGGGTGTGAGCTCCATTAGGTCTGTTCTGTTCACAGTGGTACCCCTGGAAGAGGGCCTGGCACAGAGCACGTGCTCAATAAATATTCGTAGAATGAATGCTCATCTTGCTTGCTTACCACAGAGAGGTCATAGCCGTGTTACTGGGTCAAGGTTTGGCCAAAAGGAAAGGCAGAATTCCCCCTGGCTGTGCCCTTCTAGAAAATCACACCAAAGAAAAATCACTTGTCACTGAAGGGAGGGGAATGAATAGAAACAGCCCAGTGCAGTCACCCCTTCGCATCCTCGGGCTCTGCATGCAGGGATTCAACCAATCTTGGACCGAAAGGCCTACTACGGTTGTGTCTGTACTGAACATGTACAGATTGTTTTTTTCTTGTCATTAGTCCCTAAATAATACAGTATAATGACTATTTACATTATATCATAGGTATTATAAGTAATCTAGAGATGATTCAAAGTATACGAGAGGATGTCCGTAGGTTGTATGTAAATGCGATGCCATTTTATATAAGGGACTGGAGCGTCTGTGATACCAAAAGCCCCCGTGGGTACTGCCTTTGAGGGGGAGCCGGGCCATGCCGGGGTCAGATGAGATCTTCTTTCCCACTTTGTTGCCCGGCCACAGTCTCCAGTAATATAAACCACATTTGTTTCCTTGACACATCTAATGAAAATGTCACATGAAAATTAAAATCAAATGAAAATTAAAGAAGGCTTGCCAGCTATTAAAATCTTGTGAGAAGCCCTCAAAAGTTATATCCCTATTATATTCCACCAGAATAATTCCCCTACAGTAATATTTTTTAAATTAAAAACTAAAGCTATTAAGCAGGCTATGTACATAACCTAAGAGATTGTATCAATGCAAATTACCACTTTAGTCTTTACCAGACTGAAGAATAAAAATAGTTTTACTTAAAATTCCAAGCACTCTCCTCAGAAGAGAAGGGGTAACAGATTTCACCCAGGATCAGGCTCACCTGGTGGGAAACGACGCTCCTTCCTGTCGGCCCCCCACGGAAGTGGACTGTGGTGTGAACTCCCTTCTAGAAGGGGCCCCCATTAGTCAACTGCCACAGAGCGCCCAGGGACCCCAGGCTGGGGCTTCATCCAACCTAACGCAGGAAAATCCCTATCAAATTCCATCTTGATGAATTCTGAGGAGTGCTGCCCAGATCACAGCTATCTTAATTTTAACACAAAAACCTCCCTGGGTGTCAGGAAGTTCAGTGCACCGAATAATACATTGGCTACCCCTCTGCCTCAGTTCTTATGCAGGCAAAACATTAATCAGGGGCAGAAGATTTCACAGCAGGTATTTTGGCTGGAATAAATTCCCACCTTGAAGCCTGCTTACCATCGGGAAGTGTGTGAAGCTGCTGGGCTGGAAGGCTGCCTGGCCACATGCTGCCCCTCGCGAGCAGAGTCCAGGGGGGTCTCTGGGCACATCTTCCCCCACCAAGCTAACCAGCTCCTCCCCATACCCCAAGCTGTCTTGTCTGTCTTCCTCTCCCAACGGCGATATTCTTTTAGGAATAATAGCTCCTCCCAGATCATTATCATTATTTCTTTCAAAATTCAGCTCTCTGCCCCTTGTCTCAAGACCCCAGCACAAATCCACAATTTATGCTCACATCTTCCAGCTTTAACCGTGATTAGCTGGGCTATATACTAAGAAAACAATGCTCATTACTGGACTACGAAAAATAAGTGGTTCAATTTTTTATAGCAACACCCGATAACTCTGCTGCTCTTATTAACAAAATCTCATGATTCCCTTGGCAGCCTTTTCTTTTGAAGAACATTTCAAGCACTGTCCAGGGCCCCAAGCAGAAAGCACAGACAGGAAGAGGAAGAAGTTGAGGATAAAGTGGAAGGGAGAAGAGGGCAGAGAGAGAGATTAACACGTACATATGATTTCCAGTACATCAGGGAGAGGGAAACAGTTTTATCTGGGAGCTAGCAGTTTAGTTCAAAAGATATTTATTTAGCACTGACTCTGTGCTAAAGACATAAAGGTAAGATAAAGCTCCTACTGGTCACCTGTACTCCAGGCAGCACAATGGGAATTTCAACAGAATGTAGTAGATGCTGTGACAAAGTCAACTGGTGATGATGATATGATGATGGTGGGGCACACAGCACCAGGGGAGCACCCAGGAGACACTCACCATGGCCTGGTGAGGGCAGTGTGGACCTCTAGGAAGATGACCCACTGGTATCCACCTCAGTGTCCAAAAGATAGGTTTCCTCATCAACCCAGTTTTATGTGGCTGTTGGAGAAACCCAGAGACCCAGAGTGATTAAACCCTGGGAGCCACCTCTAGACCAGGGGTTGGCAAACTACGGCCCCCCTGCCAAATCTGCTGGCTGTTTTTGTAAATAAAGTTTTATTGGAACACAACCACGTCCATTTGTTTATTCTCTTCTATGGCTACTTTCAAGATACAGCAGCAGAAGTGAATAGCTGTGACAGAGACCTTATAGCCTACAAGGATGAAAATATTTCCTATCTGACCCTTTCCAGAAAAATCTTGCTGACCCCTGTCCTAGACCATCCTCTTTCTTCTCCAGTGCTTCTCAGTATTTCATTGACTTACCACACTCTCCTTTCCCCTAATTTTCTGTACCACCAAGCTCTATACCTCAATGCCACCAAAACTCATGAAGAGAGAAAACAAACATATTCTGTATGAAGAAGTTTCATTACTAAGGGGATAATTCAAAACAACCTCCCAACACACCAACAAAACAAAACAAGACAAGTGGTTATTGTTCTAGGGCTGAATTATAATATGATGAAGTTTAGAGAGCTAAAATTTAATTATCTGCATGTGAACTTGGCAGCCTTTAAATAGAAAAGTCCTTGGCAAATCAGAGGCCTTGGCAAACCCTGACTTTCTCCCTCAGCCACAGTTCCGTGCCCAGGAGCTCACCTTTGACATCATTAAAGCTCGTTTCTGAAAACCCTTCACTCAGGTCAATCAAGGTCCCCTCGGACTTGCACCGCGGGAGGCCGCTGGAGTTGGCAGCTCGGATGCGTTGGGCTGCCATCTTTAATCTCTCTTCCTGGGTGAACTGCTAAGGTTTCATATTTCTTCCTCCAGTTATTCCAGCAATTGCTGAAGCTTCTGTCTCAAGCAACCATGCTGCACTGTGGTGTCAACTTTGCAACGTGCTTCTTCCTGAAAGTAGGGGAAAAAAAAAAAGAATTTCCCTTGAGCAAGCAAAATGTGGGTTAAATAGTCATTTTATGAGAAGTGGGAATCCTTTTTCTTCCAGAGGCCATTCCAATACAGACAGACCCATGTCATTTTTCCTGGCTCAAGAGAGCAGAGCAGGGCTCACTCCTTGGATTCTATGCCCACGTTACACCCATCTCATCAGTTCTCTTGGCACACACAGCCCGGGCAGTGTTTCCTGGTCTGCTGTTTGCACCCTCTCTTCCTGGGGCACAATGGGTTTGTGAAATTTGTTCTAGCACCTGGCCAGTCCATTCATTACTGTCAACGAGGAGGACAAAACAGGATCTGTACAGTCCACACTGTAAGTCCCTGGGTGCAGGAAAGGGTAAGTCTATCTCCATCTGCCCAGATAGTGGCTGGTCCCACTATTCTAGGAACAGCCACGGCTGACTCCGGCACCTGGGCAAGCCATGTTCAGCACGGCACTTCTCAAGGCCCCACTGCAGTGGGTTTGAGGGGACTGCTCCCTACCTACACTCTCCTTAAATCATCCCTGAACCCCAGGTAAACAAACCATCACAGATAAAATACACATGTGGCCTTTTTTGTATATAAGGTATTCTTGTGTAACTTAGGCAGATGAAACCCTTGTGTATTTACTGAACCGCTGTGTTGTTACTAAGCCAGTAGAGGAAGTTTCTGTGGGAAAGAACATGAGAACCACTCCCAAGGCCTCAGTTTCTTCCTAGGAAGGGGCACCAGGCATTTCGGGGGTCCTGGAGATGAATGAGACAACTGGCTTTGAGCAGACCTTCAACAGGGCCCAAGGACAGGAAAAGGAACAGCTAGGAGCCAATTTTAGAACAGTGAATTTCACACGCTCGCCAACAGAAATGGGTCGACTCTGCCACAGCTGGCCGCAGCTGGCCCGCAGCGCTCAGAGCAAAGAGCAACCCGAGGGCAGGCGAATTTCACCCCAGTATAATTGGGTTCAGGCGACTGGCCTGAGGTCCTTGTTCCTTGACTGCTCTATCCCAAGACAGCTGGAAATTTGGCTTGTGACCCAGCTGTGTCGCCTTTACTAATCAGAGGGACCTGGAGGGCCCTCTGCAGCGCGTCTGCACTGGGGATGACGTAGCCCTTCCTCTCCCATCCCTCCCCCAGGCTCTGCGTGTAGCATCCGTGGCTAAGAGGGCCAGCCGTGCAGTGAGCAGACCGGGTTTGCATCCACACTCCACTGTTCACAGGGACGACCGTGTGTTCCATATTTAACACAAGATCAGTTTTCGTATTTGTAATGTAGGGTAACGACCACACTGTTCTGATTTGATTTGTGCGAAGAATCAATCAGGTAATAATCTAGATAAGGCACTTGGGACAAGGAGCAGAGGCTCAATGACTGTTGGCGCCCACACCTTGGCCACTGCCACCACAGCTCGGACATCAGCAGCCCCAGTCCTGGCTCTGAGTGGCCTGCTGGCAGTGGCTCTAGGGAGGATTCTGTTCCATCCCAAGGCCACAGAATGCCACATTCCTGTACCTGACTCCTGGAGAGAAGGCCTGTGTTATGGACTGAATGGCCCCCCTGCAAATTCAAATGTGGAAGCCCTAACCCCCATGCGATGGTATTTGGAGACAAGGCCTTTGGGAGGTGGTGAGGGTTAGATGAGGTTAGACGGGATCAGCGCCCTGACAAGAAGAGACACCAGAAAGCTCGCTCCTCTCTCTGCTCTCTGCCATGTGAGGATACATTAACAAGGCGGCTGTCTCAAGCCAGGAATCGGGCCCTTACCAAGAGCCAAATCAGCCAGCACCTTCATCTTGTACTTGCCAATCTCCAAAACTGTGAGAAGAAAAATCCCCGTTGTGTACCCCAAGCTATGGCATTCTGTCACAGCAGCCTGAGCTGACTAAGATGGTGTGCGAGAAGTGGGCCGAAGGGGAGGGCAGGGCCCTGGCGTCCGGAAGGCCAGGCTGGACGCCTGTGCACGGGGAGCAGGACAGCAGTGGCAGCCCCTCTGGGGAGGGAGCAAAGCTGCCATCCTGGGGGGTGACACTTCCCTTAAAAAATGCCCAACCTGAGCCCAGCACCACCGTCCCTCTCAGCCCGCCTACCATCCTGGACTCCTCCAGCCAGTCTGGAGCCCGGGTGCAGAACTGTAAGGAGGAAATGGAGCCTGTGCCCCCAACACCCACTTTTATTTACGACTCACACATCAGAACTCACACGGATGTGAGTTACCTGAAGGACGGAGGAAGCACCTGGAGGTTTTCCCCAATCAAGTGAGATCGCACGCTGCCTCCCTTCTCCCCTATGAAGCGACAACTGGTGTGACTGTGTGCTCCATCCCCCTTTCCCCTCCCGGCTCTTCTCTGCCGAGAGCGGTGCATGGGAGACGACCCAACCTCCTTGAGAAGGCAGCCCCGGACCAGGGTTGGAAGCAACACAGAGCCTTGTCTCCTGGTCCCGATGCAGTTACCCACGCCTCCTCCCCATGCAGAGCCCACACTCCAGTCGGGATAGGGGGCACTGACAGGGCCTGGGACACAGTACTCTCATCAGTCGTGGTGACCTCGTGGCTCTGTCTGCACAGGCTGTGTGCAGAGCTGGATGCAGAGGCGTGGTCACCATGCCACAGACAGCTCTATCCCACCAGGCAGCCTGTGGCCACGTGTGGGAGCCCCGAGGGCACTGGAATGCAAGCCAAAGCCACCTCGGAGTAGCCTGGCTTTGCAAGGGAACCACGATAATAAGCTACACTATTGAGATGAGAGGATGTGAAGATCCTTGGGATCCAAAAGACTAAGTCTCATTTACTGGAGAAAATCAACACAGAGGAAGACCGGGATGTGTGTGGCGGGTGGGAGAGGATTGCTTTACGACAGTGTGAAGCCCATGACCTGTGATTGCCGGGTGGACTTTCAAATTTAACAACAGTCCCCACCTAAGAGTCTAGGTCTGCCCATGTCTCTTGGGGAGACAGCAGGAGGACACACAAATGGAGCTGTGTGTGTGTGTGTGTGTGTGTGTGTGTGTGTGTGTGTCTAAAGCCAGGAGATGCCAGTTAGCTGTGAAATCTGGCTGGTGCAGACCCTGTGCATCCCGTGAGGGGCTCCCCTGACCCGGCCCAGAGCTGCTGCGAGGACTCACCGGGCATGAAGGACGTGCTCTGGATCCCACGCACGACAAGGCCCTTCCTACTGCACCCGCCCACGTCCCTCCAGCCCCCGACACACGCTCCTCACTCTGGCCTTCCTGTTAAGGACACACCGGTACCCCAGCAGAGGTGTGCTTTAGGAAAAAGGATGCCAGGAGTCTTCCAGGAAAGTCCCTTCTGACCATGCTTCAAAAGAGTTCCAGAGTAAAAACAGGGACTGCTTGTGCCAGCCCTGGGGGTCTAGTGGTTAAGATTCAGCGCTCTCATCGCTGCGGCCCAGGTTCATGTCCCAGTCAGGGAACACACCACCGTCTGTTGGTTGTCACACTGTGGTGGCTGTGTGATGCTGTGATGCTGAAAGCTAGGCCACAGGTAGTTCAAATACCAGCAGGGTCACCCAGGGTGGGCAGGTTTTGATGGAGCTTCCAGACTAAGACAGACTAGGAAGAAGGACCTGGCCACCCACTTCCGAAAACACGGGCCATGAAAACCCTGTGAGCAGCAGCGGAGCATTGTCTGCTACAGTGCCGGAAGGTGAGAGGAGGGTGCAAAAAGACCGGGCAGGGTTCCGCTCTGCCATCCACAGGGTCACTAGGAGTCAGAATCCACTCGACAACAGTAACAACAACACTCTGCCGTCCCACCTCCCTTTGTGAGTGTGTATTACCCGACTTCCCATTCACAACCAGGAGAAGCTCTTTCACGGAGGGTTTTAAAAAAATGTCAAAATGGGCAGAACCACGAGGCCTTACTGCAAAGAGTTGTCTTTGGTGCCACACACACCCCTCCACCCCATCGTCACCACAGCCCTGCTCCTGAGTACCCCAAGCCCTGCTGGAGGAGCCCCAAGCTGCAGTGGTGAGGGTCCCGGAGAGCCCGCCTAGCTGCCTGGCGGAAGCCAGAAAGCCGCCCAGAGGAGGTGACGCGCTGGAGCTCTACCTAAAGGGTGATGGGGATGCCCAGAGGAGGTGACGCGCTGGAGCTCTACCTAAAGGGTGATGGGGA